CTCTTCCACTACTTGAGAATAAGAAGGTAGCCTCCAATATACCATGGCCCCCCCCTCAAGCACTTCTCTACAGCTTTCTGGGGAATCAAAAATAAAAAACAAAAACCCATCCCCATTTGTTTGAACTTCCTTTAATCCTTTAGACTTCCAAAGCCCAAAGGCACTATTACGCAGATAGTTATACCCCACTCCCTTATCAACAAAGTAACCAATAAGGGAGGAGTCCCATTTGTCAAGTGGCTCAGATCTAGGAGGCATATGCACGACTATCGCATCATCAACAGATGAAGGAGGGATATACCTGAGTTTAACACTCGACCTTGACGATGCAGCTACATTAGCCCATGTCCGTTGTTGTGCAGGTCTCCCTTCCTCCATAAATCTGCTGCTCCCCGCTCCACCACGCCCTCCTCTCACTCCTCGATAACTACCTCCTCCCCTCCCACGCCCTCCTTGGGGATTAGGGTTGTAACCATGGTCCACCAACGGGACTTCAGTATCTGTAATCTTCTCTGCCTCCCTTGGATTCACCTTTTGTTTGCCCTCTCCTCGATTCCTGGCTACATCGAGACTGTTAGGGAGATCCCGAAACCTATTATGTTCCTCTTCCACTTCCTCAGACCATCTAGGGTTAGTACCTTGACCCACCGGAGTCAAGAAGGCATTACCCTCGTCGATCTTTGCTCCGGACGGAAGATTCGTTGAACTCGTGATCAGCTGAGTTGACTCAGTGATAAGACTCGCTCCTTGCTGAGAAGGGATAGGACGACCCCCCCCCAGAATCTGGTATAACCCCCTTCGTTTCCACAGATCTACTCTGATTTACAATTTTCAAACCCGCTAACCCACGATCTCCATCACCCTGAGGTCGTGAAGACTCGTGTTTCGATGTAACTTCTGTAACTTCTTGGAATTTTTCCGATGTAACCATAGATCCCAACTTCAGATCCGTTTGCCTCATGGTTCCCCCTTCACGCGAGGCCTCAAGAGTTTGATCAGGTTCAAGATCGCGATCCTTAGGACTCTCCTCCAATGGATCCATGTTTTCCGAAGACAACACTTCAAACGAGTTTTGCACAAAACCTAAAGCCTCAATAGGTTTGACCAACCCTAAAACTTCCATTCCAGTATTGCGTACACGTGCACTAAGGGAGCACTCAGATTTGGTTAGAGCATTAACTCCGATCATCACTCAATGAGATATTGAAAAACCCTAGAAACAAGGAGTTTCTAGAGAGATGTGGGAGCTTCTCTCTCTAACCCATTACCTTCTCTTAAGTGGCCAAGTTTAGCTCAAACTAACCTTGCTTAGCCTCTAAAAAAGAGAATTTTAAGAGTAATTGCATCTTAGCGATATTAGTTTAGCTTGAGAACCTTATTTAAGGATTACTAAATCACCTAAGTGTTTAATTCTCAAGTCCAAAAGGAAGAATTTGAAATCCCTTTGAATTTCTTTCTATTTTCCTTTTTCTTTTCTCCGACTTCTCATCTACCTGTCAAGAAGAATGTTTCTCCCCAAGTTTCTCCGGCCTTCTCCATCCTTCTCTATTTTATCCTACGAACTAATTAGCTTGGGCCAATAATTCTTTCATTAGCGTAAATGGTCCGGTTTAACTCAAACAAAACCATGCTTAGCCTGTAAGAAAGAGAATTTTATTAGTTTAACTTAAACACGTCATTTAAGGTTTTCTAAATCTCCCGCGTGTTCAATTCTCAAATCGAAAAGGATGAATTTCAATCCCCTTTGATTTTCTTCCTATTTCTCTTTCTTTTCTCTAACCTTTCTCCACCGCCTCTCAAGAAGAAGTCAGAATGTTCAAAAGCGGTTCTTTATTTTCTTTTTGTTCTACACCTACTATAACAACATACTTATTTTGCCTACTCTAGTGGGATGTACTAGGGACTATGTTTTGTTACTCATAGCTATTTGCTGGATGCATACATCAGATTGCTGGTTTCTCCTCCAGCGCAATTTAGGAATACTATTACACTCCGTGTGGGTTACGCTTCAAGACCATACTGATTCAGATTTCGATGATTTCTGGATGGGTTACTTTTAGTTGCTGCTTTCATTATTGGCGTTTTGATATTTTTGGATGGGTGGCTCATAGCTATTACTTTGTTTCATTATTGATTTTAGTTAGTTCTTCCGCTGATGTTCAATAGCTATTCCTCGTGTATAGCTTTGTAGGGCCTGGGGCATGGCCCTTGTAATCTTGTTTATTCTTCTGTTTTATTTACAACTTATTCACCCAAAAAAAGAACATTTGTCTCTAACTTTCTCCGTCCTTCTCCATCCTACTCTATTTTGTTCTACGAACTAATTATATCTGAGGCTACTAATTGTTTCATTAGCTTTAGTGGCCATGTTTAACTCAAACTAACATTGCCCAGCCTCTAAGAAAGAGAATTTTATGAGTAATTGTTGCTTAACGTTATTGCTTTAACTTAGGCACCTCATTTAAGGATTTCCAAATCACCTAAGTGTTCAATTCTAAATTCCAAAATGATGAATTTGAATTCTCTTTGATTTTCTTCCTGTTTCTCTTTCTTTTCTCTAACTTTCTTTTCTAGCTCTCAAGAAGAATGTTTCTCCATAACTTTCCCCGTCCTTCTGCATCTTTCTCTATCTTGTTCTAGGAGCTAAGTAGCTTATTAGGCCACTAATCGTTTCATTAGCTTAAGTGGCCAAGTTTAGCTCAAACTAACCTTGCTTAGCCTCTAAAAAAGAGAATTTTAAGAGTAATTGCATCTTAGCAATATTAGTTTAGCTTAAGAACCTTATTTAAGGATTTCTAAATCACCTAAGTGTTCAATTCTCAAGTCATTTGCTTAGGCCACTAATTCTTTCATTAGCTTATGTGGCCAAGTTTAACTCAAACTCACCTTGCTGAGCCTCTAGGAAAGAGAATTTTCCGAGTTAGTTGAGCTCAGGCACCTCATTCAAAGTTTTCAAAATCACGTTAGTGTTCAATTCTCAAGTCCAAAACGATGAATTTGAATGCCCTTTGATTATCTTTCTAAAATTCCTTTCTTTTCTCTAACTTTCTCTTCTAGCTCTAATGCAAGATGTTTCTCTCTTTCTCCGTCCTTCTTCATCATTTTCCATTTGGTTCTTGGAACTAATTTGCTTAGGCCACTAATTCTTTCATTAGCTTATGTGGCCAAGTTTAACTCAAACTCACCACCTTGCTGAGCCTCTAGGAAAGAGAATTTTCCGAGTTAGTTGAGCTCAGGCACCTCATTCAAAGTTTTCAAAATCACGTTAGTGTTCAATTCTCAAGTCCAAAACGATGAATTTGAATGCCCTTTGATTATCTTTCTAAAATTCCTTTCTTTTCTCTAACTTTCTCTTCTAGCTCTAATGCAAGATGTTTCTCTCTTTCTCCGTCCTTCTTCATCATTTTCCATTTGGTTCTTGGAACTAATTTGCTTAGGCCACTAATTCTTTCATTAGCTTATGTGGCCAAGTTTAACTCAAACTCACCACCTTGCTGAGCCTCTAGGAAAGAGAATTTTCCGAGTTAGTTGAGCTCAGGCACCTCATTCAAAGTTTTCAAAATCACGTTAGTGTTCAATTCTCAAGTCCAAAACGATGAATTTGATTGCCCTTTGACTTTCTTCCTGTTTCTCTTTATTTTCTCTAACTCTCTCTTCTAGGCTCTCAATAAGAATGTTTCTGTCTAACTTTCTCTGGCCTTTTCTATTTTGTTCTAGGAACTAATTAGCTTGGGCCACTAATTATTTCATTAGCTTAAGTGGCCATGTTTGACTCAAACTAACCTTCCTTAGCCTCCAAGAAAGAGAATTTTCAAAGCATTTGTAGCATAACGATATTAGTTTAACTTAAGCCCCTCATCTAACGTTTACTAAATCACCTACGTGTTGTTCAGTTCTCGAGTACAAAAAGACAAAAAAAAAAAAAAAATCATTTTTTTTTAATTTTCTTCCTATTTCCCTTTCTTTTCTCTAACTTTCTCTACTACCTCCCAAGAAGAACGTTTCCCTCTAACTTTCTCCGTCCTTCTCCATCCTACTCTATTTTGTTCTACGCACTAATTATATCTGAGGCTACTAATTGTTTCATTAGCTTTAGTGGCCATGTTTAACTCAAACTAACCTTGCCCAGCCTCTAAGAAAGAGAATTTTATGAGTAATTGTTGCTTAACGTTATTGGTTTAACTTAGGCACCTCATTTAAGGATTTCCGAATCACCTAAGTGTTCAATTCTCAATTCCAAAATGACGAATTTGAATTCCCTTTGATTTTCTTCCTGTTTCTCTTTCTTTTCTCTAACTTTCTTTTCCAGCTCTCAAGAAGAATGTTTCTCCATAACTTTCCCCGTCCTTCTGCATCTTTCTCTATCTTGTTCTAGGAGCTATGTAGCTTAGGCCACTAATCGTTTCATTAGCTTAAGTGGCCAAGTTTAGCTCAAACTAACCTTGCTTAGCCTCTAAAAAAGAGAATTTTAAGAGTAATTGCATCTTAGCGATATTGGTTTAGCTTAAGAACCTTATTTAAGGATTTATAAATCACCTAAGTGTTCAATTCTCAATTCCCAAGTTTCTCCGGCCTTCTCCATCCTTCTTTATTTTATCCTACGAACTAATTAGCTTGGGCCAATAATTCTTTCATTAGCTTAAATGGTCCGGTTTAACTCAAACAAAACCATGCTTTTTTTTTTTTTTTGGGTGAATAAGAGATAAAATAAAACAAGAAAATAAAACAAAACCATGCTTAGCCTGTAAGAAAGAGAATTTTATGAGTAATTGTAGCTTTTTTTGGGTGAATAAGAAATAAAATAAAACAGAAAGATTTACAAGAATACAAGGGGCATACCCCAGGCCCTAACAACAGAATAACAACACGAGCCTCGGCCCACAGTCACCGAAGCCCAAAGAAACACAAAACAAAAACACTAGACCAAACCTAGGAGCTACATTCGAAACTTAGGAGAGCCAATTGAAAACTAGCCAATCGAACTGTACAAAGGCCATATCCTATGATGAATAGGGACCTTGTACAAAAGACAAAGCCAGCAGCCAACAAGCACCATTACAACAGTCAAAAAACTCCCTACACAACCCGTAGGGATAGGCACCATCACACCCACAAAACCGCCCTGCACAACCCGTAGGGATAGGCACCTGTAACAAAATAAATATAATACAAACATAGCAACCCAAACAAACCGAAGTGATGAACCAAGAGGGGCCCATCCTACCGAATTGCTCAAAAAACCTGTTACACGAGACACCAAAATACCCATGAAACCTCCTACACAACCCGTAGGAGTAGGCAAACTGCAAACTAAAACTGTGTACAAATAAAAAGAAAGACCACTGATTAGCTCCCACTTGTAGCATAGCAAGGCGCTTGAAGCAGCCATCACCATGGTACATACACACCCTGCCAACTGCCACCCAAACCTGAACAGCAATCAGCCACCACTCCTCCACAGCATGAGAGAAATAAACTGTTAACAGCCTCAGGTAACTATGGATTAAGGAATTACCACACCACCGAACCACGACATAAACCACAACCAGCCATGGATAGAAATTACCACCTCCGTAATGAAGATCATAAAGCAGCAGAAATAACAAGCACACTGTATAAGACCTCCCCACACTCGGCCCACAGTAAAAAACATTCTTACACTCCATATAGAACCTCACACCACTTGGCCCACACCTCACATGATTTCTCAATAGAACAAGATAGATAGTATACTTGAAAGCTCCATAAACCTGCATAAAACATATATAATATATAATAAATGTTAGAGCAAAACATGTATACTGTCTCTCTTCACTCAACCCACAGTGGCAGAGAATACTTTGCTTGCTCACATCACTCAACCCTCCAATCAGCCACTTCAATGATATAGGATTCATCATAACCTGATAAGAAAGGAAAGAACCTACAAAAGAACACCCAATTAGTAAAACCCCACAGTATATGCTCACCATCACTCGACCCTAATTGTAGGTGAACTCCCACCACTCATTCTCCTGCCATCTGCAGTAGCATTGGTCGGCTGCATAATTTTGTAGGGAAGATTCCATTTCTCCAAAAACCAATGATCACCTGCAGAAGATTTAATGTTTTCCAAGGAAAGAAGCCTACCCCTAACCATTTGGATAATAGAGTTAGTAACAACCTCTTCAGGTTTGTGGACCTTACTAAAGATTCTACTATTCCTCTCCATCCAAATGTGGTAGACAGTGCAGAGAAAAGACAACCTCAAAATCAGCACTTTCAAGGAATTACCATTGGTAGATTTAGTAGCAAACTCAACAGTGCCCAACCAAGACAGAGAAGGCCAGTTAGCATTACATTTGGCCATCATGCCACCCCAAACCCTAGAGGAAAATATACACCTGAAAAAGAGATGGGAGTGATTCTCCTCAGGAGCTTGACAGAAAGGGCAGCAAGGATTAGAGACAAGACCAAAAGATTGAAGCCTATCACCAGTATTAAGTCTCTCGTTAATGGCCAACCAAACAATAAAACTAACCCTAGGGATTAAAGGGGGGCCCCAGATAAGTTTAGACCAAGGGACTTTAGGCCCTTTTTCCCTCCACCAATCCCAAACTGACTGGATAGAAAAAGTACCATCAGCAGTCAAGCTCCACACCGGAGTGTTAGAAGAGCCCGGAGAAGGTAAGAGAGATGAAGGAGTGGAGGAGATCCACTCCTTAATCTCCCAAGAATTAGAAACAGGCCACTTCCAAGAACAATTAGAGACAATAGAACTAACCTTGGAACTGTCAGGAAGGTTAGTATCATAAAGGATCCTAGGCCCAAACCTCTGCCAAAGAGAACCTAGAGGGTGCCAGTTGTCATGCCAAAGAAACACATTGTCACCATTACCAATCTTAAATTTGATGAGAGGATAAATTAAGTTCCTGAGAGACAAAATTTTCCTCCAAACCCAAGAAGGATCACTAGGGGTCTTAACGGACCAGAAACTCATACCTTTGAGCAAGTAAGACTTAACCCATTGGCACCACATAGAGCAATCCCCGCCCGAAAACAAATACCAAACATGTTTGGCTATAGCAGCCTTGTTCCAGATTTCCAGGTCCTTAAAGCCAAGGCCACCTTCACTTTTATTTCTGCAGATATACTTCCAAGCAATCTTAGCACTATGCTTTTTCATCTCAACCCCAGACCAAAAAAAGGATCTAAGAATACTCTCAATGTCGCTAACAATCTTCTTAGGAAGGATAAAAAGAGAGGACCAATACACCTGCATTGAAAACAGGATAGACTTTATGAGTTGGGCTCTACCAGCATAGAGAGCAGTTTATTGGTCCAACTTTTGATCCTCATGGTAATTCTCTCAACCAGAATATGGCAATCAGACACTTTAAGCTTAGTAGTGATTAAAGGCACACCAAGGTATCTAACCGAGAGGGAACCCTCAGTAAATTTTGCAATCTGAAGGATTTCCTCTCTAAGCTGTATACTACAACCCGAGAAGAAAATGTTACTCTTACTAGGATTAGGAGTGAGGCCCGGCAGATTCCTAAATTCCTCCAAACCCTGCATGATAAGATTAACAGTACCAGGGTCCCCTTTGCTAAAAATCATCAGATCATCAGCAAAACATAAATTGACAATTTTGGTTTTCGCACATCTCCAGTGGAATTTGAGCAGGGGGTTCCTAGATTTCTCAGCCAAAATCCTAGCAAGGACCTCCATAGCCACCACAAAAAAATACGGGGACATACCCCCTTGTCTTAACCCCCGAGCCCCTTTAAAATACCCCTGAAGGCTCCCATTAATACAGACCGAAAAAGAAGGGCTCGTGATACAAGCCTTTATCCAAGTAATCATGCAAGGAGGGAAAGCCATAGCTGTAAGAGTATCAATAATAAATTCCCACCTCACAGTATCATAAGCCTTCATAATGTCCACTTTCATGGCACACTTAGGAGTAAGGGACTTCCTATGGTAACCTCTCATAAGCTCTTGGGACAGGAAAATATTGTCCGAGATCCTTCTACCTTGGACAAAAGCAGATTGCACAGGATCAATCAGATCAGGGAGGGCCAATTTAAGTCTATTAGCTATGATCTTAGCAATGCATTTGTAGATGGTGTTACAACAAGAAATGGGTCTATAGTCACCAACATGCATAGGATTGGGAACTTTAGGAATGAGAGCAATGATGGTACTATTGACCTCAGAAAGAAGTTTACCAGTGTCAAAGAATGACTTGATGGCTAATGTGACATCCTTACCAACAATATCCCAAGAATTTTTGAAGAACCCAGCGGAATACCCATCAGGACCGGGGGCTTTGTTGGCTTTTAAGGACCAAAAAACCTCCTTGATTTCAGTCTCAGAAACAGGTTTAGACATCAAGTCATATTGAGAAGGAGAGACTTTTTTATGCACCAAAGATTGAATTCTCTCAAAGCCATTATACTGATCCACAAAGGGAGTACCAAATAACTTGGTATAGAAATTGACAAAAGAGGTGTGGATATCAGAACTATTAGTAGACCTAGTACCATCACCCATGTCAACACTCAAAATTTTCCCTCTGTTGATATTGCTCTTCACAGACCTAAAAAAGAATTTGCTATTTCTGTCCCCAAGCCCAAGCCATTGCACTCTGGATTTTTGAAGGGCAAGACTTTCTTCTAACTTACTAAGCTCAATGTATTTTTTCAACTCCTCTCTCTCACGAACTTGCAGCCCATTGTTCACAGGATCTTTATCCAGCTTATACTGGATCAGATCCAAATTAGCCTTAGCATTCTGAACACGAGTAGATATATCACTAAAATCCTTTTTGTTCAAAAGCTTAAGGCTAATTTTAAGATGCCTAAGTTTTTGACAGACTCTAAACATAGGAACGCCCCGGATATACTGCCCCCAAGTGTTAGAAACCATACTCAGAAAATCTGGGTGTTGAGACCAGAAATCAAAGTATTTGAAGGGTTTCTTGAAGGAGCTCTTAGAAGCATTGATATTGACCACAGCAGGGGAATGATCAGAAATGCCAGACGGAAGAAAGTTGGCAGTAGCCTCAGGAAATTTGTCCAGCCAAGCCTCATTAACCAGGACTCTATCAATTTTAGTAGCAATATAAGCCCCTTCACTCCTTTTGTTAGCCCATGTGAATTGGCAACCACCATAAGATAGGTCAGCCAACTCAGAGGCAATCACACAAGAATTAAATTCCTCATTTTCATTTGTCCAATTAGAAGTCCCCCCAATTTTTTCCTGCTGGTATCTAATAGCATTAAAATCACCCAGAAAACACAAGGAGCTTTGGATTTAACACGGGAGATATCATACATAGATTCAAAAAAAACTTTTCTCAGAGTGTGCTTATTTTCAGCATAGACAAAAGTTGCATAAAATATTTCATTGGAAGCCAATTCAACAACTTTACACAAAATATGCTCATCAGACATAGAAAGCATTTGAACATCACAAAAAACATTGTTCCAGCACACCCAGACTCTACCAGTTTTAGTTGGTTGTGAATTAGAAATCATGGACCATTGACCAAAACATTTAACACAAATACTGCTCTCATTTAACTGTTTTATTTTAGTTTCCAAAACCCCCATGACATGAATATTTTCTTTAAGCACAAAGTTTTTAACTTCTTTATGTTTAGAAGGATCATTCAATCCTCTAACATTCCAGGAAGCAATTTTGACATGCATAGGGACACAAAAAGAGAGAGTGACATAATCCACAACCAACTAAAACTGAATTACCTCTTCTTCTTCCTCTGGCTGCTACTACCTTTGCCAGAGGATTTATTCACCTGCTGGGATGGGGTAGCAGAGCTAGCATGCACCTTTCCATCCTTAGTTTCCTTTATTACTGTGTCCACCACTTCAGCAGAAAATGGAGCCACTATTTTTGCAATCTCAAAGATCCTCTTTTGAAACCTATCCACATCACTGTTTTCAGAACTATGCTCTTCCCCGGATAAACTCTTATCACCCGAAGTCTCCTGAGTATCAAGGGATTGATCAGATGAGTCCACCCTTATAGTTTTTTTTTTTATAGTTGCAGGTTCAGTAGTTGGAGTTTCTTGATTTTCCACCACTGTAGACAAAGGTACAGAAACTGGGTCTGGGTCTGCCTCCACTTCTGGAATAGTTTCTAACTCAGGTTCACCCACCTTCCTCTTCCCCTTAGCTTGAACAGTGGTCTAGCCTTCTTCCTGAACAGTGATATTTTCCTCAGATGTCTTCTGGAGGGATATCAAATGAGCCACTTGTTTAGACATGCACTTTTCAGTGCTATGTCCAAATATTTAACAGTGTTGACACCGGGATGGCAGTCCCTGATATTCAGCTCGGATTAGAACAGCATCATCAGCATGCCTAATTTGGAAGTAGGTTGGCAGTTTTTAGGTGGCCTCAATTTCCACGCAGACTCTAGCAAATGCCACCCTACTACCCCGTGCCGTAAGCTGGTCCATGAAAAGGGGGTTACCAATAGCACTTGCAATCCTACTCAAACCATCAGGATCCCAATATTCCAAAGGAATATTAAAAAATTTCACCCAGACAGGGATTTTGGTTGATTTATCTTTTGTTAGTTTCATCATCCTTTTCCACTGCTTCGGAATAAGGAGATAGCCACCTATATACCACGGGCCTCCTTCAAGAACTTCTCTGCAACAATCAGGAGTGTCGAAAATGAAGAACATAAATCCATCCCCATTAGTTAACACCTCCTTGAGGTCATTAGCTTTCCACAAAATAACCCACAAGGCAGGAGTCCCATTTCTCAAGTGGATCAGTACGCGAAGGCATATTCACAACAACACTATCCTCAACAGTAGTAGGAGGGATATACCTAAGCTTGATATTTGAGCGGGTTGATGCAGCCGTGATGTTTGCCCAAGAACGTTGTTCTGGGCCCACATGCTCGATGGTCCTGTTCCCAGCGGCACCACCACGACCTCCTCTCCCCCCACGATAACTTCCGCCCCCCCGAACGGCTCCTCCTTGGGAAGAAGAGGAATCCCTAATCGGAATTTGTACATCAGCAGCAAAAGCCATTTCTGGATCTGCAGATTCAACAAAGTTCTTGTTTTCCCCACGATTACGCGCTACAATAACACTATCTGGAAGATTTAAGAAGCTATTATACTCTTCCTCCACGATATCAGACCAACTTGTGCTGATAGCATTTCCAATCGGCGTCGAAGGCTCGCAGCTCGGTGCAGGAGGCATCGGCTCTTTCAGTTTCTCCGCGGGCTCAGGAACACGTATATCCTCTGCTACCAAATCAACCCCAAAACCATGCCGATTTGCCGCAGAAACAGCAACCTGCGTTTGGATATCCACATCGGACGGATTATCCAACGGAGTCCCCACACTTGCACCATCACTAGGATTTGATGGAATTTCAATCGCTATTTCGCTCAAAATCGCAAATCTGTTTTCAGATAGCCCTAGATTTGGATTGACGACTCTAGGAATATTACCTCCCACGCCCTCACCAGTAACACCCTTATTAATCTCACCCAGGTTAGCATTAACTCCAGACATCGGTAATCAATGAGGTATTGAACCCTAGAAAACCAGGTTTTCTAGAGAGATGTCAGAGCTTCTCTCACTAACCCATTTTGTAATTGTAGCTTAATGATATTAGTTTAACTTAAACACATCATTTAAGGTTTTCTAAATCTCCCGCGTGTTCAATTCTCAAATCGAAAAGGATGAATTTCAATTCCCTTTGATTTTCTTCCTATTTCTCTTTCTTTTCTCTAACCTTTCTCCACCGCCTCTCAAGGAGAATTCAGAATGTTCAAAAGCTGTCCTTTATTTTCTTTTTGTTCTACACCTACTATAACAACATACTTATTTTGCCTACTCTAGTGGGATGTACTAGGGATTATGTTTTGTTACTCATAGCTATTTGCTGGATGCATACATCAGATTGCTGGTTTCTCCTCCAGCACAATTTAGGAATACTGTTACACTCCGTGTGGGTTACGCTCCAAGACTATGCTGATTCAGATTTCGGTGATTTCTGGATGGCTTACTTTGGTTGCTACTTTCATTATTGGTGTTTGATATTTTTGGATGGGTGGCTCATAGCTATTACATTGTTTCATTATTAATTTTAGTTAGTTCTTCCGCTGATGTTCAATAGTTATTCCTCTTTGATATAGTGTTTGAACATCTTGCGTCTGGTTATTCAGTCGTGCTTTTCTTGGCTTTGCTTTTCTTTCTCTCGTGTATAGCTTTGTAGGGCCTGGGGCATGCCCCTTGTAATCTTGTTTATTCTTCTGTTTTATTTACGACTTATTCACCCAAAAAAGAACGTTTGTCTCTAACTTTCTCCGTCCTTCTCCATCCTTCTCTATTTTGTTCTAGGAACTAATAAGCCACTAATTGTTTCATTAGCTTAAGCGGCCAGGTTTAACCGAAACTATCCTTGCTTAGCTTGTAAGAAAAAGAATTTTCTAAGCAATTTCAGTTTAACGATGTTAGTTTAAGTTAAGAACCTCATTTAAGGATTTCCAAATCACCTACGTGTTCAATTCGCAAGTCCGCAAGGAAGAATTTGAAATCCCTTTGAATTTCTTTCTATTTTCCTTTTTCTTTTCTCCGACTTCTCATCTACCTGCCAAGAAGAATGTTTCTCCCCAAGTTTCTCCGGCCTTCTCCATCCTTCTCTATTTTGTTCTAGGAACTAATAAGCCACTAATTGTTTCATTAGCTTAAGCGGCCAGGTTTAACTGAAACTATCCTTGCTTAGCTTGTAAGAAAAGGAATTTTCTAAGCAATTTCAGTTTAACGATGTTAGTTTAAGTTAAGAACCTCATTTAAGGATTTCCAAATCACCTACGTGTTCAATTCGCAAGTCCGCAAGGAAGAATTTGAAATCCCTTTGAATTTCTTTCTATTTTCCTTTTTCTTTTCTCCGACTTCTCATCTACCTGCCAAGAAGAATGTTTCTCCCCAAGTTTCTCCGGCCTTCTCCATCCTTCTCTATTTTGTCCTACGAACTAATTAGCTTTGGCCAACAATTGTTTCATTAGCTTAAGCGGCCAGGTTTAACTGAAACTATCCTTGCTTAGCTTGTAAGAAAAGGAATTTTCTAAGCAATTTCAGTTTAACGATGTTAGTTTAAGTTAAGAACCTCATTTAAGGATTTCCAAATCACCTACGTGTTCAATTCGCAAGTCCGCAAGGAAGAATTTGAAATCCCTTTGAATTTCTTTCTATTTTCCTTTTTCTTTTCTCCGACTTCTCATCTACCTGCCAAGAAGAATGTTTCTCCCCAAGTTTCTCCGGCCTTCTCCATCCTTCTCTATTTTATCCTACGAACTAATTAGCTTTGGCCAACAATTGTTTCATTAGCTTAAGCGGCCAGGTTTAACTGAAACTATCCTTGCTTAGCTTGTAAGAAAAGGAATTTTCTAAGCAATTTCAGTTTAACGATGTTAGTTTAAGTTAAGAACCTCATTTAAGGATTTCCAAATCACCTACGTGTTCAATTCGCAAGTCCGCAAGGAAGAATTTGAAATCCCTTTGAATTTCTTTCTATTTTCCTTTTTCTTTTCTCCGACTTCTCATCTACCTGCCAAGAAGAATGTTTCTCCCCAAGTTTCTCCGGCCTTCTCCATCCTTCTCTATTTTATCCTACGAACTAATTAGCTTTGGCCAACAATTGTTTCATTAGCTTAAGCGGCCATGTTTGACTCAAACTAACCTTCCTTAGCCTCCAAGAAAGAGAATTTTCAAAGCATTTGCAGCATAACGATATCAGTTTAACTTAAGCCCCTTATCTAACGTTTACTGAATCGCCTACGTGTTCAATTCTCGAG